AAGCCTCCATACAACTCAATGGTAAATCTGACGTCATTTATACTAGTCAGAATGTAATTAGAGATATCTCAAATGTATTTTCACTAGTCAAAATAGAATTAAAGATATCTTAAATAACTAATATGTCTAGTCATAAATCAGTTTCAGATATCTGGAATGTAAGTACGGTGAATCCGATTTTATGTTAAAATGGCTTGCCATACACTTTCCCTGTTCTTTTAATTGAGGAAGCTCTCACACCACCTCTCACTGTTTGTCTCGTACAGCACAGGTAAGAGTTTCGTACCGTAGTTTGTTTCAGGGAAGGAAGCTTCACAGCTGAAGCTGCAGCACCAGGTTTCACACACTCTTCATATTCCACTTTATGACGCTGGTTTACTTTAAATGATGAAAAAAAATTGTTGTGCTTGAACCTTTCGTCGGGACTTGTTTTCGGCATTGTCTACAGATTAGATTTTTCTGCTGTTCATCTGACAAATTAAATCCAAACCATCTCCAAATAACAGAGACATTATTGTTTTTCCTGCCCACCAGTTCTGCAACGTGCTCCCTCTCCTTTTTGTGACTAATGCCCCATTTGCACTGCCCCTAATAAGCCCCAATTCTGGGCAGCCTGCCATGGTAAGAACCCTTTAGCACCAGTACTTTAGCTAGTATTTTTAGCTGATTTGAGGCTGATTCAGGGCCTCTTTTCATCCCTGCTTCTCTGGTGGGACCAAGCGAGCTCAGTCGAGCTGAGTCCAGAACGAAACGTGAATGCAGGACTCTGATTGGTCAGGGGGAGGAGTCACTGGAGCGCAGAAACTTTTCACTGAGCTGCCATTTGCAATTTCTCTGGATGCTTAGGATTTTAACAACAATAATGACAACACCGTGTTTAATTCTGAAGTCCAGGCATTTTTGTGTTTGGTGACCGACGACAAAATTCGAGCGAGCCGTGTCAAAAATAAATAAATGGTGCCGGCTTAATCATAAAATCCTGTTTTCCCTTTGACTTTATTAAATAATCTGTTGATTAAAGTTCTTAGCTGAAAAATCATAAAAAGACAAAATTATTGGATCTCTCGGGAATATTTCCCTCAAACATGTTTAAAGAAGAGACATGGCCTTTGGTTCAACATTATTCTAACCCACAAATGTACAAATCACAAAACAAGTATTACACTTTAAATTAAAGCTTTAAATCAAAGCTAAACTTTAATTCAAAGCTAAAAATAATCTGTTTACAAGAAAAGATTAACCTGTATACAAGAAACAAAAGCACAATGAGCGCAAATACATCAAATCATGAAGAAAAATATAGAATTTTAAATATAGATATCCTGATGCATGCTCAATAATCCAGGTAGAAAAAATTAAAAAAGGTAAGTCTGGTCCTCTGGACATTCAAAAAACAAAACAAACAAACAAAAATGTAGAAACATTTTGTCTTTCATCTGAAAGACTTCTTCAGTCTGAGAAGCTGTATTCAGCTCAGTCTTGTATAAATAGCTATGAACTGAATACAGCACCTCAGACTGAAGAAGTCTTTCGGATGAAAGAAGAAACGTTTCTACTTTTTTTGTTTGTTTTGTTTTTGAATGTCCAGAGGACCAGACTTAACTTTTTTAGATTTAAATATAAATGTTTTTGTAGAATCTGGTTCATCAGATTCAATTCAGTTCAGTTTATTTATACAGTGCCAAGTCACAACAGAAGTCGTCTCAGGGCACTGAACAGAAATATTCATATATAAAATAAGTTAACAGAAACATTCATATATAAAAATAATAATTTAATATTATTTATCTGAGGAGCAGAACTCTCATTAGCAGGACTTGGATTCTGGACACGCCTCCAGAATCGGTCCTAAAGTGCAGGTGCAAATCCAGGCTGAGCTGAGCCAGGCTGAGTAGGGGTGTGCAGGGCTGAGCAGAGTTGGGGCTAGGGCATTAACAGAGTACTCGAGTAATCTACACATCGATTGCTAGAACATCTATCGAGGTTAAAAATGTAAGGTCGAGTGTCCGTAGTGACGTCATATTATGTGACCACTGTATGACTGTAGGGGGCAGTGTTGCACTGTTGCAGGTCACAAAGTATGGTGTAACACCGGGTGCAATCCACCGAACCAGAACCAGCTTCCTCTTGTTTCACAAACAAAGCATGTTCAAAGCTGCACGTTTTACTGAAGCTTTTAGCTCTGAGAGGATCGATCAGCTCTGTGTCTCTCTCCACCGAGGAGCTAACCTCTCAGCTTAACTCTGTTTGCTTAAATATTCTGGACCGTGTTGCTCCCGTTAAAACCAGGAAAACAAAACTTTTATCAGAACCATGGCTTAATGACGTCACTCAAGCCGTTGGACAGCAGTGTAGGAGAGCAGAACGCAGGTGGAGGAAAGACAGGCTGCAGGTTTCTTTTCAAATCCTAAAGGAGAGTTGGCGTCATTATCAGAAGGCAGTTAAAGCCGCCAAATCGAAGTTCTTTTCTGCGATAATTGCCTCAAATTCCCACAACCCCCGAGCCCTTTTTTCCACCCTGAACTCAGTTCTACACCTCAGTGAACCTTCACCTCTAGAAGCCTCAACTGAGCTGTGTGAAAACTTCCTCCATTTCTTTTCTGAAAAAGTTGCAAACATCCGGGCACTCATTTCTCCACCTGCTAATGATCCATCCATCCCATCTCATTGTGTTGCTGTTCTTGACCACTTCGAGCCCATCTCTCTGTCTTCCCTGGAGCAGGTCATGTGCGGCATGAAGCCATCTGGCTCCCCTTTTGACGTTGTCCCCCCTCGACTCCTCAAGGAGCTTCTTCCTGTTCTGGGCCCTCCTGTTCTTGGCATTGTGAACAGCAGCTTAGCCTCAGGTGTGGTGCCAATAACTTTTAAACATGCTGCTGTCCAACCTCTCCTGAAAAAACCTAGCCTTGACCCCTCAGACATGTCCAACTTCCGTCCTGTCTCCAGACTCCCATTTGTCGCTAAACTACTGGAAAAAATAGTGGAGTCCCAGCTGAAATGCTTTCTAGAGGATAATGCCATCTTAGAGCTATTCCAGTCTGGCTTTAAACCTCTCCACAGCACTGAAACTGCTCTACTCAAGGTTTTTAACGACATTCTCCTATTCACAGACGCTGGTGATTCTGTGCTCCTTCTCTTACTGGACCTCACATCTGCCTTTGATACAATCGACCACGAGATCCTCATTGCGAGGTTAGAGCAGTGGGTGGGCATCACTGGGTCAGCCCTAGAATGGTTTAGATCTTACCTCGCTGACAGGTCCTTTTGTGTCTCCATCAAAGATTTTAGTTCAGCCTCGGCAGCGCTTAAATGGGGGGTACCGCAAGGGTCCGTCCTTGGTCCTCTTTTATTTTCTTTATACCTGCTGCCACTAGGTGCTATTTTCAGGAAACATAACATACCTTTTCATTTCTACGTCGACGACTGCCAAATCTACTTCCCCCTCAGACTCAACGGTACTCACTCTATTCAACCGTTACTGGACTGCCTGGCTGACATCAGAGATTGGATGGCTTTAAATTTCTTGAGTTTCAACGAGAAGAAATCTGAAGTTATGCTGTTTCCTCCCAATGACACAATCACCAACCACTGCATCGACCTATCCGTTCTGTCACCGTTAGTGAAACAAAGAGTCACTAATCTAGGAGTGATACTTGGCCCTTCTCTGAAACTCAACAATCATGTAAATGATTGTTAAATCCTGCCTTTTCCAGCTGAGGCGACTGTCTAAGCTGAAGCCCATATTGTCCAAAAATAACCTGGAGACAGTAATTCATGCATTCATTACATCCAGGCTTGACTATTGCAACTCACTCCTTTTTGGTATCAGTCAGACCTCCATAGCTAGACTTCAACTGGTCCAAAATGCAGTAGCCCGGTATTTGACCAGCACAAGCAAAAGAGAGCACATTACACCTGTTTTGGCCTCCCTACACTGGCTTCCGGTTCACCTTCGAATCAAATTCAAAATACTCTTGTATGTCTATAAATCACTAAACAGCTCTGCCCCCTCCTATCTTACTGATCTGCTCCAGCCGTATGTCCCACCACGTTCTCTCAGATCAGCAGACCAGTTGCTCCTAACAGTCCCAGGAACCCGTCTCAAGCGCAGAGGTGACAGGGCCTTCTCTGTAGCAGGCCCAAGACTTTGGAATGAGTTACCTCTGCTCGTTAGACAGGCCCCCCTCACAGTTTTTAAATCTCGCTTAAAAACACACTTTTATTCCCTGGCTTTCAGCACTGTGTGATCTGTGCTGAGTCTGTGTGCATCACACTGTGTTGGTCATGTTGCGGTTGTTGTTGTTATCCATTATTGTTTTTGTTGGTTTCTACTTTTTGGTGTCCTGTTATGTAATCTGTTGCTATGTGCTTGTTCTGTTTGTCCCTGTACAGCACTTTGGTGTGCTTTGTCACTGTTTAAAGTGCTTTATAAATAAATTGGTATGGTATGGTATGGTAAAAAGCAAAAAATATTCATCTCTAAACCTATTTAAAAAATCTATAAACATATTAATCTCTAAAACTAAACTTAATGCGCCCCACAGCTGGCGGTGGTGCGGGGTGGTCGACCCCCCCCCCCCCACACACACACACACTGTTAAGTTTCGTTTTTGACGTGCTGCACGTTTCTTCACGTTTATATATATATCTGTATATTGTCAGAATATAAAGCTAAACTGCTGGCATAGCCCTACAAAACTTTACTGACTTGCACAGGGTGAGGTCAGGGAACAAGGCCAGGCTGATTCTGGCAGATCCTGATCACCCACTCCATGGTGAGTTCAGGCTGCTTCCATCTGGACACAGGTATCTGCAGCCCAGGTGTAGAACAGATTTTAATGTCTCAATGTCATGTCTTGTTTCATGTGTCTGACTGTGAAACTTGTTGCCCCTTGGGGATAATAAAGATTCTTGAACTTGAAGTGGCAAAAGAATGATCTGGCCAGACATCGTTTCAGTCTGTGTTGATCCCAGTTTCTTTTGTTCCTCCCCTCCTGCAGGTGTTGTTTTCGCTTCCCTAGCACAAGTATAAAGATCACGTTCACCGCCCTGTCTACGGACAAAAAAGAGCCAAGGAACGTGCCTGAATCACCGGTCAAGCCCGTCCAGCCCCAGATCTCCCCGCTGACCATTAACATTCCCGACAACATTGCCCACCTCATGAGCCCACTACCGTCACCCACTGGCACCATTAGGTAGGAGCGCTCACATTTGTTGTACTTTTCAATCAGGTTAGTTATTTTTTCTTTGTCCCAACTCAAGAAACGAGTTTTCATTCATTTTATAGTGCTGCGAACTCATGTCCATCAAGTCCACGGGGCGCGGGACTCTCCAGCTACAGGACGAGTCGTGTTCTTGCCTCAGAACTTATCGGAGACAACTCTCAATCAGAAAATGATAAGGAGGCCTCAGGGGAAGACAGCCCAAAGGTGAGAGCAGTGCTTGCCTCCAGCTGGTTGAAAACGTACTGCTGTGTGTTTTAGGGATTCAAAGTGTCAGTTTGTATCCCCCAAGATGAACCTGGAAGAGGTGCAGAGTTCCCACAAAATGGTTCTAGTACAAGTTGTCTTGCACCCTCCATGTACATGAATAGGACTTCAAGGGTTGATTTAGTAGTTCTTATCTTGCTACCTACATTTTTTATACATGTAGGTGTAAATAGTTATTTCATGCTTATAAGAAAAGCTCATGTGACACTGTGGGGAAATGGACAGCACTTAAAGCCCCACAACGCTCGCGTGCAGACTCTGGTCCCAAAAATACAACATGGCTTCTTCCAAAAAGCACTTCCTGCTGGCGTTATTCCAACAAGAGAAGGGGACATTTTGTCTATAACATGTTGATGGTTCAAACATGAGCACATGTAAAAGTTTTGTCAATATGCCACTCTGGGACATACAGGTGTGTCTAAACATGATGACGAGACACAAAGACATCAGCCATGGCCTTAGAGAAGCAACTGTTGTCTGTCGATCTGGGAGGGGTTAAAAATATTTTAAAATCATTTTGAGTTCATCGTTAAAAAGAGTGAACTGTTTTTAACACGTTAGGACAGCTTCTGGTCCAAGGAGTGGATGTTCCAGCAAGGTCAGCTCAAGGTCAAACTGTGCAATGAAAAACACGTACGAGCTCTGCCTCAGACCTGAATGATCAGATTAGAGGTTAAAGTTCATCATAGCACAAATGGCTCATAACAACTGTTAAGCACGGTGGAGGAGGGGCGATGATTTGAGTTTGTTCTGCAGCCACAGGACCTGAGCACCATTAAGTGGACCGCTGACTCCTCTGTAGACCAAAAGTTTCTGGAGCCAAGTGTGAGTCCATCTGTCAACCATAGGACAATCCCATAATGATCATACCAGAAAATGATGCGTTCCTTTCAGTGAGTGTATTTTATTGGACTCTACTTGTGGTTCTTATCACCTGGTGATGTAAAAATGTATTGAGACAGACCTCTGAAGAGGTTCGTCTTTCCTGGCTGGACGTTGCTGTGGAGTTCTTCACTCAGTTTGTCTGACAAAATCGTTTTAGTTTGGATGTAAAGGGCTACATCTCACTTGCATGTTACACATTTAAACACAACAGCGTAGTTCCACCTGCGTGCAGTTGAAGAATCAGACGCTCCACGGCTCAGACTGGCTCCATCTCATCAATAGTTGACGCACCAGACTGCTGCAGCTCGGTAACGCTGTATATCCTCATCAGTAAAAAAACAAACAGGTGTTGTGCATGAGCAGTTTTTTTTTTCAGGGTGTGGGTGTGTGGTGGGTATAATTAAAAAAAAAAAAAAGCCCATGTTGGACCATTGAAGCTCATTTATAAGTTTTGTGGAAAACAAAACTAGATTGACTACTGTAATTTCCCGACTGTAAGCCACGCGCACACATAAGCTGCGGGTGATCATGTTGTATCATGAGATTTGTACAGAAAGATTTTTTTAAACTTTTAATTAAATACGTACCAGTAACCTACAGTAAATGTTCTCTTTCTGAACAGTGCCTGTAACAGCTGGTAAATAAATACAGTCCTACCAGGAAAAGTCATTAAACACTATCTTCATCTTCCTCCTGTGCATGAAAACCACTAAAGTCTTCTTCAGTGTCAGAATTGAACAGCATCAGAAAGTCTTCATCACACATGTCCTCAGCCTCTCTTTCATTGTTGGAAAAAAAAAAAAAAACAGTAGCCCAGTGGTTCCCAACCATGGTCCTTGAGGAACACCGTCCTGCATGTTTAACTTGTTTCCCTGCTTTGATGCACCTGATTTGAATGAATGGGTGATTAACCGGCATCAACAGAACCTGAGGAAGAAAGTAAATCACTGAATCAGGCGTGTTGGAGCAGGAAACAACTGAAACATGCAGGATGGTGTTCCTCAGGGACCAGAGTTGGGAACCACTGCAGTAGCCTGTCAGGAAGTCATTGATCACTATCTTCATATTCCTCCTGCTGCAAGGTTGTTCTTCGCTCTGTGCTTGTTCTCTCCTAAACTCCCCGTTTCATTGGTTCAACTGTGACCTGTTTGGTAATTTCATTGGTCAGATTATTATTATTTTAACTTTTATTTATACAAGTAGTCTCATTAGCTATGTTTACATGGACATAAGTAATCGGATCAAACGGCCGGTCGGAATAAAAACGCGTCATGTAAACACCCCGTTCAGGTTATTTTTTTGTTTATTCAGCGTGATACGAAATAATTTGTAATCAGAATGAAACGGGTGGTTTACGCCGATTCATAACCCGAATGGTGCGCATGTAAACACTTGATCTGTTTGGTTTTATCTGATGGTGAAAAAATGACCTGACTGCGCATGTGTGACTTTGTCATTTCCGCCTGGCTAATGCTAATAATATTAGCATGTCGGGGAAGTAAAACTGGTCGGTGAGTGACAACATTTCTACCAGAAACTTTGAAAGAGCTCAAAATGATCTGTATTACCTGCAGCTCAGTCAGGGAGTGCGGTAACGTCTCCACCATCATTAAAACTTGTCGTGGGTCCATTTTGGGAGTTCTGGTTTGTTTACGTTCATCCCAGAAGTAAACCGGAAGTAGAACTTCTTCTTCTGTGGGTTTTTTAAGGAGAGTTTGCCACTCTGTGCATGCCAGTACTTCTGTTCAGAACAAAGCCCGCTGCATGTAAACGCTCGTCATGAACAGATTGTGCCCATGTAAACAATACATTTAGATTATTTAATCTGAAAACATTTCAATCCGGTCAAATAAATTTGCGCATGTAAACACAGTTGTTGAGTCACAAGGACCCACCCCCCTGAGAGAGACGTGTACTGGGCAGCTCTGTGAGCACCAGTCCATAAATGTCCGCAGCATTGTATAAGCTGCGGGGGTTCAAAGCCTGTGAAAAAAGTAGCAGCTTATAAGCCGCCGTAACCGGACATTACGTTAGTTTATTTAGGAAAAAATAATTGAAAAAATAGTAGTTATAAATTTAAAGAAGTTGTCTAAGGTGGTCATTTTTGTTTGCGTTGTTTCCCTTCAGGAACATTATCAAGTCAGAGGACCTTATAAACGTGCTGATCTCCAGATGTTTTTCCTGTTGTGTTCTGATGTTTTCTATGTTAGAAGTAAAATAAAATGTAATTTTTTTTTCATCATGACTGTAATTTATTTTATTCCGTTTCTTTTTTCTTCCACAGGATGACTCCAAACCTCCGTATTCATACGCACAACTAATAGTCCAAGCAATCACGATGGCTCCAGACAAACAGCTAACACTGAATGGAATATACACCCACATCACCAAGAACTACCCGTACTACAGGACCGCTGACAAAGGCTGGCAGGTCTGCGTCTTCACACGTTGGACATGTTTGAAGGGCATCTTGTTGGTGGTTAAACAGCTGGGCAGACCTACCATAGATGCTAATACAGTTAGCGCACAACGTTCATTTAAATATTAAGACTAAATTCAAAAATCGTATGAAAGGTCTCAGTCCAGCATTGTAGTGAAGACCAGACTCCACCTGTTCAAGGCTTCAGTCTGCAGGCAGGAGTCTGTCGCTGCAACAGAACAGACTCCCAAATCAGCTCACACAATCATTTGCCACCTTTTAAAACTGATAAAATAAAGTTTGAACCTCTTATTTGTTGCTTGACTTGGGAGGAAAAGAGTTTCCAAAACTTTGAGGTGGAAAAAAATTCAGAACCTGAAGGGCCCGACATACTCATCTGAAACCGAACAGTCGACTCACGTGGTTGCAGGACGTTCGTTTCACCTTTCAGAGTCCACGAAACACAGAGCTCCTGGTAGGGCTGGGCGATATGAACCAATATTAATATCTTGATATTTTAAGATAAATGGTGATATATGATATATATCTCAATATTTTTTCTTTCCATAAAGTAATAACAAAAATATATTTCTGAGTCAAAGCTTTGTCCCAATTGTCACACAGGCTCCTTTATAAACAAACAGCTGTAACTGTACAAAATAAATGTATAAAAAAATAAAAGTTTATTTTCCTGCATAACGAAACCAAAAACACAGCTGTGCTCTTAAAACGTAAACGTAACGCATATACAGAGCAAACATAATGAAAGGCTGACTGCTCTTTAAAAATCTGATTGTAATGAACTATTATAATTCAACCTTTATTAACAAAGCTGTTAAAAAGTTCACATTGTTGTTTACTGAGCTCTGTTCTGTTTGGTTATGGCTCGTTTCTTTCTGAATTTCATAGTTCCTATGCTCTTGAATGCACCCTGGCTGTTCCGATGCTAGTGAACGCACCACTGTGTAAACAAAGTTCAGAGTGACTCAGTCAGAGTTTGTTTCTCTCACAACATGGATGGAGCCTTGAGCTTTTGTTTGCTCTTTACTTCTGAGTGCTCAGCTTTATAATTCAAATATAGAGTCTTCAGCTGCAGCAGGGGAGGAGTGGGTTTGTATTCAGTGACACAGGACTGGTGGCGTGAAGGCTCAGACTGGGAGAAAAAAACTGATGGATTTTCACATATAATTATAACTCTAAGACTGTATCGTTTTATATCGATATAGTCTCATTTTACATTGCGTTTGAAATTATCTAGATATTTTAAAAATATCTATGCCCAGCCCAAGCTCCTGGGTAACCACTCCCCCTGCAGTGTATGTCACCCCACAGGTTTCTTCCCACTCCGTCCCTGCATCCAGCAATTATCTTTGACCCGCTTCTTCCTTTTCGGGTTGCCGGTGCAGCCATCACTGTGCCTGGACACCTGGACATGTCTCTAGTCCATCACAGTGATACATGGAGACAAACAACCATTTCCTGTCTTACTCCCTGCGTCCACAAATCATGAAGACAGCGCCACACTTTTCCACAGACACTCCTCCGTGATGTCTCCACGACCTCCATCCAGGGTGTTTTGTCCATTTGACTCATTTAGTGTGTTTGAAGAATCGTGCAGCTGAATGTCCGAGCATATTTCCACATTTGACGCACATGCCCACCAACGTCTGACCAATCACACAAGACTTGGTGCATACGACTGTGAGAAGAAGTTTTTCCCGGGCCGTAGATTGAGAAGGGGCGAAGCTGCTCTCAGAACAAAACAACACTATTTTCGTCACACAGCTGCGACAGTGAGAGCTGATTCCAGCTCTTCTGATGGAGTACGCAGGACCCCTAATGTTTGAGTCCCCAGTTCTCTACAGTCTCTTTAATTCTCCCTTTGTTCACCGGAGGGAACAATCTTTGTAATAAACAATTACAAATATAGCCGTTAAGCTCAAACACTTGTCAGAGTCGGCCCCTCCAGTTGTAGAAGATGATAAGTTAGAAGTTCATGTGCAGATGATGAGTCAGTCTGAAGAGACTCTTGACGAGAGGCCAGCCAGTCTGTGAAAATTCTTGTTTTCTTAAAAATGCAGAATTCTTGACCGGTTAGTCCAGAGTCTCGTCCCGACTTGTGAAATAACGCCGTCTGTCTGTTTGACTCTGTTAGAACTCGATCCGCCACAACCTGTCCCTGAACCGGTACTTCATCAAAGTGGCCCGGTCTCAGGAGGAGCCGGGGAAAGGTTCGTTCTGGAGAATTGATCCGACCTCCGAGGGAAAGCTGGTAGAACAAGCCTTCAGGAAGCGCCGGCCCAGGGGGGTACCGTGCTTCAGAACCCCTGTGGGACCCCTCTCCTCCAGGTGAAGCTGCTGTTCGTGACTCCTGGGCAGGTTTGTGGAAGGTTTCTATGGCAACAACGAGCCCTCTTGTCCTTCTGTTGCTGCAGGAGCGCACCGGCTTCTCCCAGCCACACGGGGGCGCTGTCTGCCCACTCCAGTGGAGTCCAGACTCCAGACAGCCTGTCCAGGGAGAGCTCCCCGGTCCCTATGGAATCAGAACAACCCCCCCCAGCAGCTACTCAGACCCCAGCAGTCCAGCCCAAACTGGCTGTGATCCAGGAGGCCCGCTTTGCACAGAACTCTCCTGGTAAAACCAAACACCTGATGAAGCTGCTAATGTTTTCATGACTTCTTCTCTATAGTGAGTTGTTTTGTGTCTAACTGTCCCCCCCACCACCATTTTCTTCCATCAGCCTCCCCCCTCAGCAGCCAGCCCGTCCTGATCGCTGTGCAACGCCCAATGCCTCAGACCACCATAAAGCCTGTGACCTACACCATGGCAACCACGACAGTTAGCTCTGCCCCCGTCATGCAGACCGTGCACGTTGTCCACCAGATACCAGCTGTCACCATGGCAACCATTGGTGCTCAGTCTACTTCAACAGAGACCCTAGTACCTCAAGAGAACGGCGGAGGAGAGCACCAAGAGTTCAAAGGTCATTCCCCCTGGACGTCCATCAGGCGTCGTGCTGAGAGATCGTCCAGCTTCAAAGTTCTCTTTTCTTTTCTTCCACAGTGAAGGTGGAGCCGCTTCCGTCCATCACACCTGCGTCTTTAGGTGGAGTTAGTCGCATCATCCAGAGCTCCCAGGCTGCTCCGCTCACAACTGTCACCATCCTGCAGCAAGCCCCGCCCCTCGGCCAGCACCAGCTCCCGGTGAAGGCTATCACACAGAACGGGACTCATCTGGTACCCATCAGCACCTCTGGCTCAGGTGACTCACACACACGGAACAAACTGACTCAAACTCAAGTTTGTGTCAACACCTGAAATGCTTCATCCCCTGGTGTCTATCATGCCATCATCAGAGTTCTGAGAAGGAATGGCAGAACTCCATCGTTCTAAAACTTTTTGTAGAAAAAACTGATCTGATTTTCATCATCATCATCTTAGTCTTAAATGTGACTCGTTGCCTCTAAAGGCTCCAGCATCACGTGTTTGGTTTCACTTAGGGCATTAACAGAGTACTCGAGTAATCTACACATCGTTTGCTAGGACATCTATCGAGGTTAAAAATGTAACGTCGAGTAACTGTAGTGACGTCATATTATGTGACCACCATATGAGCATAGGGGGCGATGTTGCACTTTTGCAGGTCACAGAGTATGGTGTAACACCGGGTCCAATCCACCGAACCAGAACCAGCTAACCAGAACCAGTTTCGGTTTAAGTTTCGTTTTTGACGTGCTGCGTATTTTCACGTTTGCAGCTTAATAATAATAGCCAATGGTTTAGTTTTTCCTGTGACTTATTTGCAGTATGATAAATGGTAGGAGCATAATATATGCTCCCAGAGTTTTGTTGTTCTTTTTTTGTTGTAAATAATTACCGTTTTTTGCGGTTTTATTTATTTATTTATTTTGGAAATAATAGATCTTGAGATCTATGACGTCATCAAATACTCTAGTTCTACTCGGGTTTTATTGTTAATGTCGAGTTTAAAAATTATATACTCGTTCAACCCCTACTTTGTAGAGATCTAGTAGAGTGCTGTATGAATGGGTAAATGAGGACACAGATTGTAGTGTAAAGTGCTTTGCGTATCTTGAAATAAGATAGAAAGGCGCTATATAAGTACAGTCCATTTACCATTTGTACAGTCCAATGCGCACCACAGTTGGCGGTGGTGCAGGGTGGTCGAGCCCCCCCACACACACACACACACACACACACACACTGTTTTAAGTTTCGTTTTTGACGTGCTGCATGTTTCTTCACATTTGCAGTTTAATAATAATAACTAATAGTTTAGTTTTTCCTGTGACTCATTTGCAGTATGATAAATGGTAGGAGCATAATATACAGGTCCTTCTCAAAAAATTAGCATATTGTGATAAAGGTCATTATTTTCCATAATGTAATGATAAAAATGAAACTTTCATATATTTCAGATTCATTGCACACCAACTGAAATATTTCAGGTCTTTAGTTGTTTTAATACTGATGATTATGGCATACAGCTCATGAAAACCCAAAATGCCTGTCCCAAAAAATTAGCATATCATGAAAAGGTTCTCTAAACAAGCTATTAACCTAACCATCTGAATCAACGACGTAACTCTAAACACCTGCAAAAGATTCCTGAGGCTTTTAAAATCTCCCAGCCTTGTTCATTACTCAAAACCGCAATCATGGGTAAGACTGCTGACCTGACTGCTGTCCAGAAGGCCATCATTGACACCCTCAAGCAAGAGGGTAAGACACAGAAAGAAATTACTGAACGAATAGGCTGTTCCCAGAGTGCTGTATCAAGGCACCTCAGTGGGAAGTCTGTGGGAAGGGAAAAGTGTGGCAGAAAACGCTGCACAACGAGAAGAGGTGACCGGACCCTGAGGAGGATTGTGGAGAAGGGCCGATTCCAGACCTTGGGGGACCTGCGGAAGCAGTGGACTGAGTCTGGAGTAGAAACATCCAGAACCACCGTGCACAGGCTTGTGCAGGAAATGGGCTACAGGTGCCGCATTCCCCAGGTCAAGCCACTTTTGAACCAGAAACAGCGGCAGAAGCGCCTGACCTGGGCTACAGAGAAGCAGCACAGGACTGTTGCTCAGTGGTCCAAAGTACTTTTTTCGGATGAAAGCAAATTTTGCATGTCATTTGGAAATCAAGGTGCCAGAGTCTGGAGGAAGACTGGGGAGAAGGAAATGCCAAAATGGCAGAAGTCCAGTGTGAAGCACCCACAGTCAGTGATGGT